TATATCCGAGTTGGAGCCATTCCCTTAATGTGAAGCAAAGATCCATCTTCCACATGTCCGTGGTGGTTTAAGTTGAGTATTCTCCTTAAGATGACAACTTGTCTCTTCTCCTAAAACCAACCAACAAACTTTCAAGGGTAACTATGAACACTCTGATTCTTTTTAGTCAACATATGTAGGTACGAGGTGCGATGTCTTGGCGAGCATACTTAAGAGTGGTACCTTAGGTCTCTCTTTCCCTTTTTACCCTTAGCAAACAAATAACGCATAACACAATAAAATAAGAGGTTCTTGTAGAGTACTACAGATACTTAGCATGCTAATACTTTCCCTAAGTATAACCAACCCCCGAATCTTAGATTCTCTTTTGCTTTGCATTGCATATTTATGGGTTATTCGTTCTTTTTCCTATCCCTTGAATAAATTAAAGATCGGTGGTGGATTAAGATTTGTGATTCAATTTAATTAGTAGCTTGCTATTCGATCCTAACCGCGATAAGCAACATGTGAATCTTAACATGAATAACAATGAGAAGGTATCTGATTACATATCCAGAGTGATTTTGATCACAAATGAGAGGAAATCTCGTGAGAGACTTTCTTTGAACAAGTAATTATTGAAAAGGTATTGAGACCACATACTCCTCAATTTGATTATATTATTGTAGCAATTGAACACTCTAAGGACCTCAGCACCATGAGAATTAAAGAGTTGGTGAGTAATCTAAAGGCATAAGAGTTGCGTCTAACTGAAATAACCTATGAAAGAGAGATAGGTTATGCTCTGAAAGCGTCTTCTGGTAAGAAGAATCAGAAGCAATATTGGTTAGAGGCCAAGAAGAGATATGGTGGTGGTTATTAGAAGTCAAAAGCCTCCAACTCTAACGAGAAGAAACATAATAAGGGAAAGGAGAAGTTTTACAAAAATAAGGTTAAGTGTTATTGTTGTAAGAAATTTGGCCACTTTGTTACTGACTGTTGGTAAAACAAGGAAAGAAAATCATAAGAAGAAAACATAGCCAAAGGAGTTTCTGATGATGAACCTGTGCTATTGATGGCTTCTAAACCTGATGGTGGATATTTGGTAGACTAGTGGTATATGGACACTGGCTGCTCAAATCACCTAACTGGAATAAAATAATGGCTGATTGATTTTGACTCTAGAAAGAGGACAAGGATCATATTGTTAATGATAAGTATTTGAATGCTAAAAGAATAGGAAATGTCAAAGTCAAAGTGAATAATGGACAAATTATTCTGATCAAGGATGTTTGGTATGTTCCTAGCATGAAAAGCAATTTGATGAGTGTGGGTAAGCTAATTGAGAAAGGTTTCTTAGTTACTATGAAGGATTATTTCTTGAAATTATATGATTTTGATCAGAAGTTGATTATGCAATATGAACAGGGAAGCAACAAAACATTCAAGGTTAATGCGAAAATAGCTAAAACTAGATGCCTCAATGCAGAAGTTGTTAAAGGTGACAGTGAATTATGGAACAAGAGATAGGGGCATATGAACTTTAGAAGCTTATGGTATCTGAGTTCTAAGAAGTTGTTATATGGTATTCCTAAGATTTTAAAGCCCGAGAAGTCATGTGATATATACATGAAAGGCAAGCAACCTAGATTGTCATTTGCATCAGAAGTGGATCTAAGAACAAAACATGCTTTAGGAGTAGTGCATTATGATGTTTATGGACCATTTTAAGTACATTCACTTGGAGGAAACAATCACTTTGTGTCATTTGTGGATGAGTTCACAAGAATTATATGTGTAGCACTCATCAAGTTTAAGCATGAGATATTTGCCAAGTTTCATAAGTTCAAGGTGAAGGCTGAAAACAGAGGGGTCAGAAGCTAAAAATTCTCAGAACTAATGGTGGAGGTGAGTATAACTCATAATATTTCAAAAGATTCTGTGAAGAGAATAGAGTTGAACATGAGGTGACAACTCCATATACTCCACAACACAATGATCTTGTTGAAAGAAGAAACAATACTTTGCTTGATATGACAAGGAGCATGCTGAAATAGAATAAGCTCATTCACACCTTATGAGAGGGAAGATGTTGCCGCTGCAACATATGTGCTTAATAGGTGTCCAACTATGAAGCTGAAGGAAATTGTTCCTTTTGAGAAGTGGACTGAAGATAAGTAAAGTTTGAGTCATTTTAGAGTATTTGGTTTTGTTTGTTATAAACATGTCCCAAATGCTAAGAGAAAAAAGTTAGATGACAGAAGTAGAATAATGTTGCTTGTAAGGTACAACAGTACAAGTGTTTATAAGCTTTATTGTCCAGTCACTAACAAAGTGGGATTTAACAGCGATGTCATTGTGAAGGAAACAGAAGCATAAGATTGAAAAAAGTCTCAATCCAACTCTGGTGCAGTGTTAAGACTTGAGTTAACTTATGGAGATATTTCAGACTCTGAAGGAGATTCAGCCTCTTAAGATGAGTCTGAATAACACTCTAGACGAGAATCTGCCTCGAAGATGAGTTAGAGTTTGAAGGTGACTCTGATGTTGAAATTGAACCTAAAAGCGAGTATGACTTTGAAAGTGAATCTCATTCTGATCCAGATTATGATAATGATCCATATTTTGGTTGTAATCATGCCTCTAAAGGTGGTCATGTCTCTGAAGGTTGTCTGTACTCTGAAGGTAGTCCAACATATGATATTGTTCCAGCATCTGAAGAAAATTTTGAACAAGTTTAGAGGCCACAAAAAATAAGGCAAATACCAAGAAGATTTGCAGAGCTTGACATGTTGCAAGATACTGATATAGACTATAAAGAGGAAGTCATGCAATGTTCTATGTTGGTAGACTCTGAACCATTTAGTACTGAAGAATATCTCAAGAAGAAAGTGTGGCTGAAGGCCATGAAAGAAGAACTTGAGGCTATAGAAAGATACAAGACTTGGGAGATGAGTGAGCTTCCAAAGAACAAGAAAGCCATCAGTGTGAGATGGGTTTGCAAGTTGAAATTGAATCCATATGGATCAATTTTCAAACACAAAGCAAGGTTAGTAGCTAGAGGATTTCCACAAAAATCTAGATTAGATTACTTTAAGGTGTTTGCACTTATAGCTAGACATGAAACAATCAGACTGGTGATTAATATAATCGTTAATAGAAATTGGCCTTTGATTCGTTTAGATGTGAAATTTGGATTTCTAAATGGTCCTTTACAAGAGGAAGTTTACGTGTCATAACCTCTTGGATTTGTGAAAAAGAATCAGGAAGGGATGGTGTACAAGTTGTATAAACTGAAACAAGCTCCTAGAGCTTGGAATCTGAAAACTTATTCATTTTTCAAGCTTCAAGGATTCATAACATGTAAGAGGAAGTATGATGTTTATGTTCATCATACATTTGATAGCAATATGATTTTGGTGTGTCTGTATGTTGATGACATACTGCTAACAAGGAATTCTTCAGATGAGATAGCTAAGTTCAAGAAGGTGCTGATAAATGAGTTTGAGATGACTGATATAGGAAATATGGTATATTTTCCAGGGTTGAAAATTTTGTATTGTACTCTTATAAGGGTATAATTTTGCATCAGCTGAAGTATGAACTTGAGCTTTTGAAGAGATTTGAGCTAATAAATTACAAGTCTGCAACCACACATGCTGAAACAAATCACAAGTTAGATTTTGATGTTAAGGGTGATGATGTAGATATTATAATTTTTGAACAGTTGGTGGACTCATTGAGATATTTATGTAACACCAGACCTGACATTTGTTATGCAGTTGAAATGATGAGTATGTTTATAAACAAACCAAAGTGGTCACATTACCAAACTACTGTAAGAATACTGAGGTATATTAAAGGGACTCTGAGGTATGAAGTTTTGTTCCCTTCTGATGCTAAATCTGATTTAGAGCTGATATGTTATTCAAACTCTGATTGGTGTGGAGACAAAGTTGATAGAAGAAGTACTTATGAATATTTCTTCAAGTATCTAGAAGATTCCATTTCTTGGTGCTCCAATAAGTAATCAGTGGTTGCATTACAAACATTTGAAGCTGAGTATATTGCAGGTGTTTTGTCTGCTTGTTAAGTTGTTTGGATTCTGAACTTATTGATGGATCTGAAGATCAACATAAGCAAGCCTGTGAGGTTGATAATTGACAACAAATCAGTTATAAGCCTTGTCAAGAATCCAGTGATGTATGGAAGGGGCAATCATATTGACACGAAGTTCCACTTTCTGCGCAATCAATTTCAGAATAGAGTGCTTGAAGTTGTTCATTGTAGCGCTTATAAATTACTTAAAGATGTGTTGACTAAAGTTATCAAGACTACACATTTTATCCATTTGAGAGATGAAATTGATGTTGTTAATTTTAATTAACTGAATATGAATTAAGGAATGATATTAATTGGAATTCAAATTCAATATCATTTACATTTAATTTGATTTGCATTTGAATTTTATTTAAAGACTTTGATAGTTTAAATACTTAACCTAATCTAAATAGTAGCAAATTCTAAAGTATAGTCATTTTGCATCAAAAGTTAGTTACAAATTATTTTCTCTCTCATCCATCTTATTTATCTTTAAAATTGTGGAGTTTGTAGATAGAAGAGTCCTATTAGCCAACCCATTTTTTCATCCTACTTAGTTTTTTTTTCCTAATGCCAATTTCATTTTAACTTGGTGAAGCTACAAATAGCTACAAATTAAAGAGACATATGCATGCATGTCCGCGTGCAAATGATGAGAGACTAACTTTAATCTTTCAATCTTAATTGATTTTAAAATCTATGTTTGATGAAAGTAAAACAAAATCTTTCTAAGAGATTTATTTTCTTTTTTCCTTTCACCACAAGCAAGCAACCTATATCTAGTATGAGTTAAAGTAAAAAATAGCCAAACTCTTAAAAAGAAAGTAACAAGTACTATTCAAGCTTCTTTCACTTTTAACTCAAACAAATAAACCCTAATTCAATTATAATATCATATTCACCCTCCTCCTTCTAATCTCTTACAAAATCCCCATTGAAACCAAACTCACATAAACCACATTAACAACAATAATCCCAAAGCATGATAGAATAAAATTCCCACCCGATTTCATAGTCGAAAGAGAAAGAGAAGGAGATGGTGCTAGTGTTTGGTGTTCTTGAACGTCCACGACAACTTTCATTCCATGAAAACAATAACCTCCACTACTAATAAAATAGTACGTTTTTGTTTCTATCAATTGAACCACGTCACGACCACCTCGTGTCACATTTTTTATGAAGTTCGTGTCTACGCAATTCTCATAAGATGTTTTGCTCGCTTCCAAAACATTGTAGTATCTTTTGTCAAACACAAAAACTACACACCAAACCAATAATTAGTTTTCTTAAACATGTAACAATAACAACATAAACCCTTTTTTTAATGTTTCAATAAGAACCAAACATAATTTATACTAAATTATTTAAATTAAAGTACCTTTTATGAAATTCCATATTAGATTTAATTTCAATTTTGTCTCCAATTGGAGGTGTTGTTATTTGGTTCATATATGATTCATGAAAACTTTTTTTTTCTGCAAAAGTTAAAGTGTTGTCACATGCTACATTTTGAAGGAGAGATTTTTTTTTCTATTACTATGTTATGCTTCTCTTCATTTTGCTTTTTTACTTTTTCTTTTTATACTGAATATATTTTTTACAATACTTATTCATTTATTTTTTAACTAACCGTAATGAAAATATTTATATAGTAAAGATTTAAATTCATTGAAAATTTTATGAAAATAATTTTAATTACGGTTGACGATTATAGGAGATCAAACCGTAATTTTTTTTACGTCAATCATTACTGAACCAAATGACGATTGATATTAATAAATGTTATTAATAATTGTATTTTAGATAAACTTTACCTTTCCTTGACATGTTCAACAATTTTCTGTCTTTTCATTAATAAATGTTTTGTAAAATCATTGATAAGATAAAATATAATTAGTAAAATGATAATTGTATACTTAAAGTTTATATCAAAATATAAATATAGTTTTGATTTATAACATAAAATTTGAGTAATCTATTCTTTATTTAACAAATTACTTTACTAATAATATTAGCAATATTTGATTTGGTAATTAAACAAAATTTAGAAGAAAAAAAAATACTTACTTAACCAATCACCAACATAGACATGTTGTTGAGAAGACCATTGAGTATAATTGGTTTTTTCATTCCAACCTTTGGATCCTCCCACCTTATGAAGCCTTGGACTTCCCATAACCTCCATTGGCCACAATGATAACATTCCCAAAATCACCATCATAATCACTTTTGAATTTTCCATCTCTCTCTCTCTCTTTTAATTTTTTCCTAGCTACCTTCTTTGGAACAAGTATGAGATACTCTAAATAGATATATGTGGGGGCATGAAAGATTGTGTTGTGTAAAAGTGTGAAGTAGGTGTTTGTAAAAAGTGATTGTGAAATAAGTTGACAGCTAGATTTATTTTAATACGCTTAGTATTCTTGCAATATATCAATCCAATGTGAAAGCATTATTTTTGTTGGGTACTTTAACTTTGAGCAAAAGTTTGTTACTCATGTGTCACGTTCTTTTTCTCTTGCATTTAGCATATCACCACATGTATGTGTTAGAACTAAGTAATTAAAAGACAAGTACTTTATTATAATTTGTGTGTGCTTTTATCACACACACAAAAGTTTGTACATGCAAGACTAATTTGACCGAGTTGAATATTGGGTGCTAAGCATGAGTTGTTGTTTTACATGCTTAGAACATAACTTGTCTATGTGAAATGGGTGAACAAGTTCAATGCACTTGTGTGAGGATGAATGAGAAAAGAGAAAGAGAATGAATAATAATTATAATGAATGGTTAAAATTGAATTACATTATACGTGTGTGCATGTATAATGTATAAGTAGGTTACTTGTAACTCAAGTAATTAATTATAACAAACTAACTAATTTATTAATCAAATAATTTAGTAATTTGAATTATATCACAACATATTCTTTATAATTCAAGTTGTTAAACACAAGCGAAACGATTTGAACTATTCTTAATTTCTTTTTCAAGGTTAGAAATATGTCGTTCTTCAATTCTTTGGGGAAAATGTCAGCCAACTGTTCTTCACTCGAGCAATGTTTCACTTCAAGTCCACATTGATTTAACTTCTTCCTTAGGAAGTGAAATCTAGCTTCAGTGTGCTTACTCCTTCCATGCAAAACTTGATTATTTGCAATATTGATGGTTGACTTGTTGTCGATCTATAACACCAGAGTTTCTTTACTTCGACCTCTATTTCATCCAGTACAAATCTGATCCAGATTGCTTGAAAAGCAACATATGATCCTGTTATATAATAAGTTTCACATGATGAAAATGACGCTACATGTTGCATTCTCGGGCACCAAATACTTGAAAGAAATAACTACTTGTGCTTCTTCGATCTTCCTTATCTCCACACCAACCAACATCTAAATAGAAATTAATCAAAACTTCTTTGCTTTCAAAATCTCGTTGAAATAGGATTCCACAGTTTATTGATCCTTTTAGGTATTTCAGGATTCTTCTTGCAGCCTTCATGTGTGACACATATGGTTCGTCCATGTATCTACTTACCAATCTAACTGAGAAACCTATATCATGTATGCTATTACACATATACTTCAAAGATCCTACAATTTGTTTGAACAAAGTGGTATCGACCTTGTTCTCCTATTTGTGCTTCTCTAGTTTCAAATTAGGTTCGACATGTGAGGATGTAGGATTCGAATCATCCATTTTGAATCTCTAGAGTATTTCTTTGACATACTTTCTTTAATACAACACCATACCTGATAACACAAAAATATATCGTATTTAGTGTCTTTTTATTATATTTTTGTAATATTATGTCGTATTATGTTTGTTTTTAGGTAAGTAGCCAAATGATAGCCGTTCACAAAGAAACTAAGCAAAACAGCTGAAAAACGGAGATTTTGGTGTAAATTGTACACATGGCGTTGGTCATGGAGGTAGCCATGAGCTGGACCACTTCTCCCACGTTCCAACAGTTATAAGACCACGTCCACCATCTCTTGTACACATGGCGGACGCCATCTTTGATTTTGGTGATCCAGTCAAAGGCAATTGAAGAATGAAGCCCATGACTACCACTTTTCTCTCCCACGAATTTTGAAGCTTCTACTTGACTTCCAAGGCATCTTACTAGCATAAATAGGACTTAGTTTTCACGCTTTGGATCATCCAATCTTAGTTCTCAGCATAGGCATATATTCAAAGTTAAAGCGATAAATCGTCACATCGAAGGTTTATCGCACCATTGTTGTAACTGAGGTTGGATCATCATAGCGTAGGAACTTTAATCTTGCCTTCATTTTAATTTCAAGTCAGATTTACTTTCCAGCATTGTACCAGATTCAAGTCTCCGATTTGGAGCAGGTTTTATTTTATTCGTACTTATTTATTTATCGCCTTTTATTTTAGAGATCTGTCTCTAAAAGAGAACCTAATGGTGACACTTCGGTTCTTACCTTTGGAAACCGATCACGCATTTAATTTCCGCATAATTTACTTATCGCTTTTTATTTTAAAGATTTATTCTCTAAGAGTGAACTTAAGCGTGACACTTTTGTTCATACTTTTGGGAATCAATCACGCCTTTATTTTCCTACACGATTTACTTATCGCCTTTTATTTCCAAGATTAGTTTTCTAAGAGTGAACTCAAGCGTGACACTTTTGTTCGTCTGAAAACTAATCACGCATTTATTTTCCCGCATGATTTACATATTGCTTTTATTTCCAAGATTTGTTTTCTGAACTGAACCTAAGGGTGACACTTCCATTCATTTTGGAACCAATCACGTACATTTTATTTCCCTACATTATTTATTCTACAAGAAAATTGTTTATTATGTTTAGCACCGTCATGTCCGGCTAAATCTGTTGTGCTGGGATGTAGGGACCGTCGTTCCGACGGTATGCCATGTGTTGTATTTGTAGAAAGACTTTAGGGGTTGTTTTGGATTTTAATACAACTTTTCTGAACTTAAATTGATCGGTCATTGTCGCTACTCGAAAAATGCATCGTGCAACGACGGGGAGGCGAAAAGGATAGACAGAAGAGTCGCCACCGAACTTTATTTATCCCATGAGGGGAAAGGAAAATATCGAGAAAACCTTAAGAAAATAATGGATAAGATGGTCTCGCGACCAAGAACGGGTTCGGAAGCCGGTTATGCGAGGGGAAGGTATTAGCACCCCTCGCATCCATCGTACTCGATGGGAACCTTTTGTTTGTCGATGTGTGAATTTATTTGCTTAAATATTATGCTATAAAAGTGTTCCAGTGGGTAAAAGAAAGGTTAGAAACAAGAAAGTTAGGAGGAAAGAGAGAACGGGGAAGAAAAGAGAAAGAACAGACTCGGTAGGACTTCGCAGTCCTATGCCTACGTATTCTCAATAGATGTGAGAAAGTCAGAGTCGACGTAGTTCGGGGAACTACAGATATGGGGGGAATGTGCTCGCCAAGGATTGTGGCCCTTGTGCCTACGTATTCTCATCTGGTATGAGAAATCAGAGCAGCCGTAGTTCGGCCTACGGTTTGTTGATGTTTTTATGGATGATGCTATCGTGCGCATTCTAGCAGTTAGGTGTTTCGCTGCTCGCTCGTTGGAGACTTAGGCATTACCTGTTTGCGGTAGAACGGACGTAACATATCCTTTTGAAAGATTGATTAGTTTTCGCCGCGCGGGGCAAGAAGTCACGTTTGATTGATTGGATTGTTTTTTAGGGGGGCGAGACAGGTCCTCAGATAGTAACCCCTACGGGTAGTACCCAATTCATTGTCTCAAAGTTTTTGTTATAAAAGGGTGCGGCGAACGAAGCGTCTTCGTATTGAAAGACGGGCGTCAAGACCACACACACTACAGTGAGTATCCTGACACTCGGAGAGGAAGAAAGCCTACACTTAATCCCCTCTTTTTAATTCAACACAAAGAGAACTTCATTCTCTTATTAAAGATGTTTTTGGTTTTGAATGGTAAGTGCTTTGCGACAGAGAACCCTACGGTAAACGTCAGCACTCGGGATAGGAGAAGGCCTACGCCTAACCACTCCACGACCATTCAAGTTTTTGTTAAGAAAATGGTTTGAAAATACACTCGGTGCAGGACCGAGGTTTTAGGTGCGAAAAGGGTTGCGGGATAAAGTTGTGAAAACGAGATGGTGAATAAAGTCGCGTCTTCGTATTGAAAGACGAATATCAAGACCACCCTCACTACAGTGGGCATCCCAACATTCGGAGAGGAAGAGGTCTATACCTAATCCTCTCTTTTTAATTCAATACAAGGAAATTATTTATTATTGAAAGTGTACTCAGTACGAGACCGAGGTTTTATGAGGAAATGTTGGAAGCGTCTTTGTATTGACAGACGAACATCGAGACCACCCTCGCTACAGTGGGCATCCCTATGCTCGAAGAAGAAGAGGTCTACACCCAATCCTCTCTTTTAGCTCAACACAAAGAAATGATTTTAAGGAAGAGATTTGAAAATGGACGGGAAGCGTCTTCGTATTGACAGACGAGTGTCGAGACCACCCTCACTACAGTGGACGTCCCAACACTCGAGGGAGAAGGGGACTACACCCAATCTTCCTATTTCAAATCAATACTAAGAAACAATTTTATTATTCAATTTTTTTGAAAAGTTTCAAGATGACACGCTCGCGAACCCTAAATGAGGGATCGACTTCAAGGAAAACCAAGGTCCTAGAAATTTTCATTGATTTGAGATATTACTATTTTTTTATTAAAGAGAAGTAGTATTAAAAATAAATTATCATGTGAAAGCTTATTGATTCTTTTTTTTTTTTGAAAATAATAAGGTAATTAAAATAAAAGAAATAACATAAGATCAAAATGCAAGGGGGTGGGGTTTGAACCCACTCCCTTAATGTTCAAAGTCTCCAAGTGCTACCACTAGGGCATCCAGCGCGTGGTGATGAGTATTGGAAAGAGAAACATAAAAGAGATGAGAGCGAAATAACAAGGAAAAGAATAAAAAGAATAGTTTTAATCCCACGCAGGACTTGAACCGGGGCACAAGGGGCCATCACACGCCTGTCTTACCACTGGGGCAGTGGTATCACTTGTGATTAGAGAAGGAAACAATGCATATACATGGCAAAGCTGCGAAAATTTCTGAGTAAAAAAAAACAAATAGAAAGCAAAAGCTGATGGGGAGGTAATGAAATTCCATGAAAATGATTGATTCAAATGTCTACTCCAACTGTTTTTGAATGAGGAGAAAAACATG